AGGTACACACTGCACCGGCCGCGACTGACGTACCAGCCCGGCACCCCAGCGCAGGTGCACACTGCACCGGCCGCGGCTGACGTACGAGCTCGCCGCCTCGGCACGGGTGCCGGCACTGGCGAGCTGCGTCCCTCTGTCTGACACGAGCGTTGAGCTGCTTGCGATCTGGTACCGAGCATGGAAGGAAGTGTTCCACATTCATATAGGTTTAGAACTGAGATGGCCATTTTTGTGCAGACTTTTTCGCGGAGCTTGTTTTGCAATAGTTCAAAACTGTATGATGCTATCGAGACGTCAGATAGATTCGGCCTTCTCAATGGTCATACCTCGTTCAAGGCCAAGAAGCTTATGACTTTTGACTTGTTCGCACCTGTAGTATGTCAGCATGAATCTCCGCAACAACAGACAGCGGTTTGCTTTCAACAAGCTTAATGCGTTAAATGCAGGTCTCGATTACGAGCCGCGCTTTGTAATATAGAATACAGGTAATTGGGTAGTTCTACTAGTTTGACTGAGATGAGATTAAAAATGAACAGTTGAAGAAAAGGGCGGTAAACGATACTGCAAATGTAGGTAAAACATTTAAAATCACGAAAGTTATACGAGAACAACAATAAGAATGGCAAAACATGCGCAAATAACGTTCGTCGAGTTAATTATGCGCGTATTAAATAGCAAATCACTTGGCGGTGTGGAGCACGTGAGCAGTCTATCAAGAGAGGTAAAGATTCAGTTCTTCAGGCCAGCCCATCAGCAGCAGCCCATTAACTTATAATTGAAATTTTGTTATCAACGACAGTCTTTTGCATTTTAACGCATGCCAGTAGGGACAAGTGAGCTTTTGCCATGATATCTCAAGCTTGCCTCGATATCTTCAAATGTAAGAGTAAGAGTCTAGACAGCACAATTTCTTTATTAAGTAAGTATGCTCCTTATTGCGGCATCGTTTGATTGCGTTATTGAACGCCTGTGTGGCGTCAGCCGCCGCCAGACTGGTCGTTTCAGCATCGCCACTGTAGGGGACGGGCTGACTCACTTACAGTGTTTCAACCTTGCCGAGAGGTAGTGCTGTGTTGCTGGAATGTGTTTGCGGAACCGAATATGGTCATTTGCTCGTGCTTTGGGCTTTCTAGTGGTGTTCTAATATATTTGTCCGTGATTTTTTAAATTATTTAGTTCCATTCATATCCTTAGTTATGGCACTTACCTTAAATTATTCGATCCCCAGTCTTTTTTACGTATAAATGACCCCACTGTCCAAATTCTTACATGATAAAGCACAAAACGCGATTCATGATCGAGGCTTGCCTGAAACGCATCGCAATGGTTGAGGATGAGCCGAAATCCATTGAAGCCGGAAATGGTGTTGACGCACGCCAGACACGAATAGCATGATGATAATATTTGTTGTGACCTTATGATCTACATGGCCAATGAGGTAGCAATATTTGCGTGATATTTCTATGGCGTCGCTCATGCCCGGGTGACCTTCAAATAGTCCGTCTGAAATAGTCTGCACATGTTCGTGAGCGAAGCCCAGCAACCATATGGTCTTAAGTGCCAAAAATAGTGGGGCCATGAACGATGCGAAACCATCCCTAAAATGCTTCTCAGTACGACCTCTTGCAAACGTGGTACACTTGCTTTAAGCAACGTTACTGCACAGACACCTCATGTTGCAAAACCAGGATGTCATGACGTTTCTTGCTTGCTTCAAGTCTGGTAGAGTTAGGAGAGAGAGAGAGAGAGAGAGAGAGAGAGAGAGAGAGAGAGAGAGAGAGAGAGAGAGAGAGAGAGAGAGAGAGAGAGAGAGAGAGAGAGAGAGAGAGAGAGAGAGAGAGAGAGAGAGAGAGAGAGAGAGAGAGAGAGAGAGAGAGAGAGAGAGAGAGAGAGAGAGAGAGAGAGAGAGAGAGAGAGAGAGAGAGAGAGAGAGAGAGAGAGAGAGAGAGAGAGAGAGAGAGAGAGAGAGAGAGAGAGAGAGAGAGAGAGAGAGAGAGAGAGAGAGAGAGAGAGAGAGAGAGAGAGAGAGAGAGAGAGAGAGAGAGAGAGAGAGAGAGAGAGAGAGAGAGAGAGAGAGAGAGAGAGAGAGAGAGAGAGAGAGAGAGAGAGAGAAGAGAGAGAGAGAGAGAGAGAGAGAGAGAGAGAGAGAGAGAGAGAGAGAGAGAGAGAGAGAGAGAGAGAGAGAGAGAGAGAGAGAGAGAGAGAGAGAGAGAGAGAGAGAGAGAGAGAGAGAGAGAGAGAGAGAGAAGAGAGAGAGAGAGAGAGAGAGAGAGAGAGGAGAGAGAGAGAGAGAGAGAGAGAGAGAGAGAGAGAGAGAGAGAGAGAGAGAGGAGAGAGAGAGAGAGAGAGAGAGAGAGAGAGAGAGAGAGAGAGAGAGAGAGAGAGAGAGAGAGAGAGAGAGAGAGAGAGAGAGAGAGAGAGAGAGAGAGAGAGAGAGAGAGAGAGAGAGAGAGAGAGAGAGAGAGAGAGAATGGAAGAGAGAATGGAAGAGAAAAAGGGAAAGAGAGAGTGAGAAAGAGGGGAGGGAGGGGAGGAAAACAGAGTGGAAAGGGAGGATATATATATATATATATATATATATATATATATATATATATATATATATATATACACACATGTATATACATAAATATCGTGGTCTATATGACCCACAGTCAAATACCTATATACGGAATAGATCCCATTTGGACCGACTCGACTTCAACTGACAGTTAGTGACAGTATGAGAGCAGTCCCTGAGGTTTGCGGTGGCGGCCGGACGGTCGGGAGGCTACCTTCATTTTGCAACGTTACCGACTCAGGACACAGCGGAACTGGAATGGATGGCCTGTCGGTTCTGTCTGATAGCATCGGGACTTCCCGGACCTGCACGACTTCGTCTAGACAAAGTAATGTCTTCGAACGTGTGACGGCACCAGCTTTGCCTTTGGAGTATACCCATTAATTTGTCGGTCAGGGAAATGCACCAGCTTTGCGCCACCACGGCATTCAGTGACGTCTTACAGCAGCCGAGCCGGGATTTGCGGCATAAACTCCTGGCCTCTCAGGGCCAGCCGGAGTAGCTTACATAACATCACTAGGCTCACATATTCTTGTGTTCTCTCAGGGCAAGCACCGCAGGTGCCTTCACTTTCAATTATACATGTAAAAATTGAATATGTACGATGCGAAATGCACAGCATTACATTCATCGGCGATAAATAATGTTTCTGACCGGAAGCGATCGCTTTCTGTTCACGTTTAGCGACTGGCTGTCAACTACCCTTTCGTGTACGTCAGAAATTCCGACATCTTGCGTTTCTCCAGGTGCTTCCTTCCACTTCTCAGTGGCATGGAAGCTAGAAAATCGCCGGGTGTGCTCGGTGCGGGCACGGGCCAGGTGGAGCAGTCCTGTCACTAGACCTCGGATTTCTCTGGCGGACACATTCTCGCAGTACGACGGCAGGCCCTTCATCATGACGATGCATGCATACTAGGTAGAACGCGACGTGCCATGGTCGAGTTTGCTTGGCTCGGCGAGGTAATCTCCTTCGGGCCATGTCAGCCTCCGCCAGATCGGCGTCATCTGCTCCTGGCGACGGCTGCATTGCTAATCCTTGTGCTGTGGTTGATGATTTTCTGAACGCTCTCAAGTGCGCCGCGCTGCAACTAGCTTTCACAACTGTGCATTAAAGAATGCGTGGAAAAACCAAAGATTCCACGAGAATCTGTTCATTTCTTCTCGCAGCCATCGCGAAATTTTGGCAGGCCTGATAACGTCACGAAACAACGCCTCATTATGACAGAAACGTGCCATTCGAAAGTAAGATTTGTGTCCACATCGACTGTCAGAACATTTGCACCACCGCTTGAGCGTAACGTTGCATCACCAACACGTACTTCGAAAGTTCGGCCTGACATCCTCTGCTGCGAAAATGTGAGAAACAAGATAGGTTTTGCGGGTTTTGTTGTTGTATCGTTATGCCCATACCGTCGCCGCGGTTTGCCCGGCGTTTTGTCGATTTGTTAACCCTGCTTTCGTTGTCTGCGGTGATCATAGTGAATAAATTGTACGTCGGCAGCATGAGTATTGATTTATTTTCTTTAAGATAGGCTAGTGCCCACAAACTAAAATGTCCCCTCTTGGGTACTCTGTACATAGTGCAAAACGACGTGCCAAACGAAAGAGAATGTGAGTTATAAAACGAAATCCAGAATTAAAATGGTGCCAAACACACCAAACAAAAAACTATTTGGGGCAAGCTAAAAGCTTGAGCGCATTAGGAGCAAGGGTATCATTTTCTAAAATCGATTGAGAAAGGGAGGCTT